GAATGAAGTTCATACATGATCAGTGACCTAATACTGGTCCCCCAATATATAAAATTCCTTTCCTATTTCAGACTGGCACTCACCCCACTGGAACACCAGCCTTTTCTGCTTTCTTCTTCTTTCCTAGATGTTCTTTAAGCTTCTCAGCTCTGTTTAGGTATTCTTTGCACTTGGCGCGAATGGTGTCCTTTGCCCGTTCATTAGGAACTTCATCTGTAATGTGGAGTCTTATTAACATGTGGTATGATATCCTTGTAACAGATAACAACAAAATAGGAAGAGATTAGCCACTTACTCACCCTACTTCAGATACTGATTAATGCAATATATATAAAATCTGTCTTGCAATGTCTCAAAAGATGCTCCTAATATTTCAGTAAGATCCAATCACCACTGCAGTGGGCAAATACTAGACACAATACAAATACTCACATTTCATAGCGTGAAGGAAATATTCCACGGCTGATTCATACAGCCTCAAAGCTTCTGCATAATTATTGCTTTTGTCTTCTTCTGTGGCTTTTGTTACTAGCTCAATTGCTTTCTGGAAAATAAAACAGATACAGTTATTAATACTAATTAATCTTAAAATATGTAACATACTCAACTATTACAGACCTGAACTCCCTAGATACAAGAAACTTATTAGTAAAGTAGAGAAAAAAAATCACCAAAAATCTATTCTCTATATCAGGTGAAAAAAGTAAAAGGACAACATAAAAACATGAAAAAATGGAGAAAAGAAAGAAAGAAAGAAAGAAAAAAAAGAAAGAAGATATTAAAGGAATAAAACACTGTACAAATACACAATGCCATAACAAACCACAAAAATGCAAAGAGGGAGAAAAAGAGAACGAAAGATAGGAGAGAGAGAGAGGGGAAGGAAGAAACCTTTCAATTCCTTCTTTAGGAAAAGCAAACCATGTTGCGCTACTAATGACAGTCCCCTTGACACACTCAACATCCACTCTGAGTGTGTCTTGACCCACAACCTTAAATGGACAATGCACAGGAAAGTAACCTTAGATATTGCAATTAATATCACACGGTAAAAATCAATTAGGCTAAGCGGTGATAAGGCATTGAATAAAGAGATTTAATAACTCCATTAATAACGACAAATATATTTACATAGTTTTGTGGGAAATTATTTTTTCAAATAAACAAAAGCCATACATATTCTTAAAAAATCAGAAGTAATACTATCTCAAGTACCAAAATTAGGTTATATAATCACTACCTACAATATTATGTAAATGTAATGTGCTCTAACCTTTGTAATATGACCTATGACTTCCCTAAAACAGTTAGGTAAAGTGAAGAAGAAGAAGGAAAAAGATGGAGAAAGGAGGAGGAGGAGGACGAAGAGGAGGAGGAGGAGGAGGAGGAGGAGGAGGAGGAGGAGGAGGAGGAGTAGAAGAAGTAGAAAGATGAAGAAAGAAGAAGAAGTAGAAGAAAGAGGAAAAAGAAAGAACAAAGAAGAAGAAACTACCAAACTAGGTTTATCTAAATCATAATGGGTACCTACAGATTTAATGGACAATAAGGTAAAAATGTGTGATACATAATACAATTGTTCCTCCCCTACATAACTTCCAGCAATAGCTGATCCTTTGGGTGGTAAGAATTAACCTTTTGTACTAGATGCACAAAGATACAGGGGGATATAAGTAGCTGAGAGCAGATTAACATGTCTACTTCAGAATTTTAAAAGGTTGTGACAGCTCTACTAAAGTCTCTATTTTCAAACCTTGAAGTGAAAGGACTTTTCCGAATGTAACCAGATGGAGAGCGAGAGAGAAAGAGAGAGAGATGAATGAACACAAAGTGGAATTATTGATTCTACTTCTTTTTCTTTCTTAAATGCAAGTGCTAATCCTCAAACATCATTAAAATCTATAATCCTCACTAAATAAATAAATACATAAATAAACAGATGAATCAAACGATACAAAGAAAACTTAAATGAAAATAATGGCATATGTTTACAGGACACACACACTGGTTTCTAAAATAGGTCATTTTTGCTTGTAAGTTATGTTCAAATCCTCTAGAACTTACCATGACCTGTGACGGATGGTTTACGACAATGAGTTAAACATAACAGTCAAGTAACTGATATGGCAAAGATCAACAAACTACACTATGTATGATTTGTTAAGATAGAGCTAGGGTTAGTTCCTCGCGTGATAATAATTTGTAAAGGAGATCTGCAAATTGAACTTGCCAGTATATATGGAAATTTGTATGTCTGCTGGGAGCTGACAGGCAAAAAGACCATGCTGGTTGTCATGAGGCCAATGGTATATGAGCAGTTGTCTTCAAAACATTTGCCAAATAACAAATAAATCCTGTCTCAATCTTTTCTTAATTTCTATTCTTTAATTACAACAATAACCTCTGACTAACTTTTCTTCTGTTTCTCTCTCTCTCTCTTTTTTCAAAACAAACATACAATGGATGAATCTACTTTAATGGATATAGAGTGCATTCCAACGAAACAATTTATGCAGAACAATGACTCATCCAAATTATAGGGTGAATTACAACCATTTTAACTAAAAATGAACGAGTCAAGCCTTACTAACACCTACTCTGATAATGCTGGCTATGGAATAAATATGCAAATTACTAATGATACAGGGGAAACTTAGAAATCAACTTTAACTATCGATAAAAATCAAGTCAACATGATTATAAAAAAAAAGAGGGAAAAAGAAAAAAATCAAATATACACAAATCATATTCTGTCAACATAAAGCTTGCAGATCTCCCTGGTACAGGACCACCTTGTAAAGAACCAGTTCAAGCTGTTTCTTGCCAAAATATACATGGTAAAGGTCTGTTGGTATTCACCAGGCCCACAGCATAAAGTATGGATTTCACAAGTATCATTTGATGCAGTTCTAGTCTAAGATAATCAACCATAATAACATATGAGGTATTCAATGGAATAAAAAAAAACAAAAAAAAAAAAAAAAAACAATGTACCCTAAACAAGCACTTTTTCTAGAAAAACATATAAATTTCTGAATCTAAAACTAAATAAATTGCAGAGGTACTGCAATTTGAAATTGACAAATTTCAAACCTGTCTCACAGGCACACAGCAATCCTGTATACTAAAACCTTTACACAAAATAGTGATTAAATATTCAAAAGACCCCCCTCCCCCCCTGCAAAGTGATTTTGAAAACAAGATTTTGTTTCTCATAATTATATTGACTACTTTTCTTGAACTCCCAACACAATATTTGACATTTTGGCAAACAACCTCAACTATGTATATTCTAGCAAAATATATTCGGGATAATTCATTTTTAAAAGTAATTCTTTACGAGATTTACAAACTCCATGTTGCCAGAGCATAAGTGGTGGGGACTCGTTGGTTTTTGCCAGAGCATCAGTGATGTAGAAGTCTATGGCAGATGTATGAGTTTGTCATATCGGTCAGTGAAAGACAAGCCTTTACCATAGCAAGAAAAAAAAATGATAGGTAAAAATCCTATAGACTAAAAATGGTTATAACATATCCTCATCAGGCTGACCTAGTTGGAGAGCATATAACATATATCAATGCAAATGTAATGAAGTGGCATAATAAATAACCAAGAGAATCTCTGGCACTCATGAAGAAATTGAATCACAGCAAATATCAAAATAAAAGATATTATGATCAACCTTTTTTAACCAATAAAAATGTGACAAGAAAGGTTTAGTAAAATTTCCGCTTTGCATTTTACCATAAAATAAATTATATAATTACCACCAGAGAACCTACAGCTCTTAATACAAAAAATAGCTAGAACATAAACTAGAAAAGGTATTTTAAAATGAGATGGAATTTTGAAAAAATAACCATATACATTGGTTTGCTGTGGAAATTAATAAATTATATTTGGGTTCTTTGTGGAAAGAAAATGAAAAAAAAAAATTTGGCTTACTAAAAATAATAATAATAATAATAATAAAAAAAAAAATAAATGAATAAAATTAAAAAGAATAAAAGAATAAATAAAGAAGACATATAATAAATCAGCTGATATAGATGTATCAGGTGTGGAAATAAACAATAAATACTTGTGTCTGTTGACGGAACTATCAAGCTCTCCAGTGCCTCAAAATAATAAACATTCTAAATATGTATTTAACCCCAAAAAGAAACTAGCTTATATAAGAATATAATTTTATGAAGGAAGAACTGATATATGATAACATGAATCGATATCGTAAATAATTTTATACTGATAATAATATATTTAAGATTATGGTACAGTTTTAGTTTCCCAGAACCATGTAATACAAGTTAAAATTTATCTATAATGGACAGAATGACAAAAAATAAGACATTTTTCATCTATAGTAATACCTTCACAAGTTGATAATAAGGGAGTTGTGCAACAGGTAATACTTTTTAGAAAAATGTAATGGCACTAAAATGATCAAAGAGAAAAACCACACTAACCAATTCACCATGATTTAATCTGCCTAGACAAAAATTAACATCAGAAATGAAGAAAATAGGTTGCAACAAATACCGCGCATAGAGCAAATCCACAGCGATCGGATTGGGGTCTGGGACGAACAAAGTTACAAAGGTTTTTGGTTCATACAGCAATATTTGTGGATTTTCCAGGAATGGCTAGAGTAATAGGGTCACTTCATAAATATTACCCATTCTTTCATCTATATCATTTGCAATGGAAAATACCAAGAGATTCACACATATTACCAGTGTTGATCATTGCAAGAAGGAATAATAACTGCAAGACTGGATGGCTGAATGAATAAAAAATTGCCAAGATTATAGAATAAGTACAAATTTTAAATAGAAAGCTAATTCAAACTCCTCACAATTCAATGCTTTGGAATGTCAGAACCAAACTAATATATGACTGACAAAATTGACAAAACAAAATAAAAAATTTCCTAAAACACACAACACCCAAATTAACCTCTTAAAAAGTACTTGGGAGAAATAGTAAAACGAAAACACACAAA